CTGAAATGCAGTTTGATTATTGTTTAAATCCACTGATAGTACTTTTCTTTCAATTCTTTCTATTGAGTTGTCCCCTTGTTGTCCCCTCACCTTGTCAAAGTGGTGGCAATAATGAGAACTTTTCTGAGAAAGTGAAGTCTTTCCAGCTGAAGAAAAATCCAGCTAAAACTATTTTGATTTTAAAACTTGCACACAGTTATACCAGATCCAAGACTCACATTCAAAGCTGAATGGCTTTAAAAAGAAAACTTTTGTCTTTTTTTTTTCATCAAAAGCTTCTAACCTAACAGTTTTAGAATCCTCAGATATTTTTATAGCAGTATTTCAGAATATAAAAAATTTGGGAAACCAACTCTCTGTCCAAGAAAGATTAGAAAGGAAGACCAAATCCTGCAATCAACTGATGCAGAAAAATGCCACTCCATTAATTTAATAACAGGTTTCTGCAATCTGCTTTCAGGGCTGAATCTTACACAAACATCATGAAGGAGATTTAGACAGAGTGACATAATCTTGGTGCACATTTTTTGCTGTCTTTTAAGTGTTTTACTATCCTCACCCTATGCAATCACTCATTCTGCCTTGCCCTGCCTTCCTATTAAAGGATGTGGATGCTGCTGCTATTTCTTAGTTAAGTGCCAATGTAGCTAATATCAAGGAATTAAAAAAATCACTATCTATATAGCTGTTAAACTAATTTATTCCACCACTTTGAAGGAAATAGGGCAGCTTTCTGTGATGATTTCATGATTTGATAAGAGGACTTCAGCTCTCAATCCATTGTAATTCTAGGTGCTGTATTTTGTTCCAGTCCCCACTGAGTTGCTTCCAACTGTCAGCAATCAAAGCACTTGGGGATGTTCTGCACAATCTTTTACTTGCCTTTTTTTTTTTTAATCTGTAATTTGATTTCACATTAAAAGATTTTCTTCAATATACACTTAAGATCTACTGATCTCAAACTACACCAAAGATTTTTGTTTAAAGATATAGCAGGCCCTTGACTCATAAAATACTGCCTGGATCAGGAACTGGGGTAAGGTCTTACCTATAGTGTCTTTAACCCTGTGAAGAAGCATGTAGTGAGTTAGCGAATGAAAAAATTTGAGCTCCAACATCTAAAGTTCAACAGAATTATGCAAACCAAGAAAAGATTATTTGCCCCTCCAATTTGCTCTTCTCTTACAGTTAAGTGACAGTCATGCTTGTATCAAGTGTTACTTGTTTCCCAAGCAACTTATTGGACTCATTTTCTGTATAATACTGATAAATTAATGTTTATAAAGGGCCAAGAGCATGGATGGTCTTACAAAATTGCTTTTGTCAATAAATTTACCAGTTTGGATTCTCTTGGATACACAGTAGCTGAAGCTGATGCAAATCCCAGAAAACTGTGGCTATGAAAAAGTGAATTCCATTGCCCATGAAAAGCAGAATCAAGACACTTGCATGAATATTTTTTTTGATGTATGTGATGTAACAGGTGTCTTTATGCTGACATGCTGATTACTAATGGGATGGTGTATGCTGCATGAACTGTGATAATCTATATCTGAAGACCTACAGTGAAAGTGAAGAGACCAAAATAAAGTATATGTAAACCTTGTTCAGGAAATTTCTACAACAGTTGACTATATTGTGTTGTCTTTAACATGAATTTATAGCTTTACAGGATTTGAAAAATGAAATCATGCACCAAAATAGTTTATTATTAACATTCTTCTCTCAATTAGAGAATTAAATGTTATCTGATACATGGAAACAACTTTCACCCGCATATTGCTGATACTGCTGCATCTTATACAAATGCTGAAAAATTCAGGAAACATCACTTTGACAGACCATAACAGCCTGTTAAGGCGCAGTGAAAATAATTTTTTTTTAAGTGGGATTTTGCATATATTAGTCACACTATTTGTGATACAACACTACTGTTCTTGGGCTACCGTCAATCAGCATCTCTTCTGTCTCTACTGACTTGAGTGACTGGATATCTTGAGAACCTATCTTGAAATTCTTACTCCATCTGAAAGTTTATTTTACATAATGAACACATTTACAGCAACCCATTTGAAAACCTTTTAGAGTTCTTAGTACATGGCCTGGGATATTACTCGTGGTGACAGGAAAATAATGCTGTAGTCAAGAGCTGACAAGATGAACAAGTATGATGTTACTTTATTGCCCATTTCTTGCATAGTATCACATGCTGCTCAGCAAGGACTGTGGACCATACTTCAGGAGTATTTCAGTTTTGAGGGATATTTTTTTTTCCATCTTGAAAGCTGAGAATCAAAATACTCGGCAACTGCTGTTTAAAATAGGACCATCTTTGCTAGCTTCTCTGTGAGATTACAGTACTTGTAGTCTAATTGAGATATTTTTAGAACCAGAAGTGCCATATCCAGCTGGGAATCAGGTTGTTTGCCCATTGTAAGACACCCAAAATCTTAGCAATCCTTAAACATGTCACATGAACAGTTCTGCATTTTGCCAATATGTGTGTGTGTAATACAGTTATTTCCTCTACTTTTCAATCAAACACACAGACACAAGTGAGAAAAAGAGGGAAACAATTTTTTTGACAAGTTGCTTAAAATAAATGGGAGATTTTGAAGGTGATAAGAAATTTTAACTAGCAGAGATAGACCACAACCCCGTGGTCAGAGAAAAAGTGGTATTGTCAAAAGTGTATAGCAAAGCATGAACACATTTGTAAAAGAAAAAGTGTTGCATGTCTTTGTACACTGTCAATATATAATGATGAACTCCTACCCTATAGGCACACAGAGCCTACAGTGTTGGTATGACAACGTTACTGCTATAGACACGTTTAGACAGCAGTGTATTTCCAGATAGCAAAAATAATGAGTTATGCAGATCAACACAAACATGGCTCAATAGAGCCTTTAAATTTCCAAAATCTAAGGATATATATTAATTTTCCACACATAATGCACCATGATATCCACTTACGTTGAGTTTGTTTGAGATATGTTCTATTCCTTTTTTGCTAGGATAGCCAGACTGAGAGTAGGTTTCACTACACATGGCACAGGGGTACTCTGGGCCTGGAACAAGTGTTCTCTGACTATCAGCACATACACTAGACCAGAAATATTTTGGCATTGCTTGAATTCTTCTTAATATGTAAATCAAAAATTCCTGTCAGTCCAGCACCACATATTACCAGCCTTCAGCATCAGGTTCACATTGATATCTCGTCATATTCAGATGTGGTAAATGATACATTTCTGTGGTGTAAATGGCAATTAATAGCAGAGACTCAGCAACAGATCAAGAGTGTCAGATGTGGTCCCAAGTTAGAACTTGCAGGTGAATTTCACAGTCCAGGATTGAAGTGTTTTATTTTGAGATCTCTGTCTTATATCATTGCAGAAAGTGGAAAAAAAAAAAAGTGCCTATTTTATATCTAAAGTCAAATGATTCACTGCACAGCATATCCACCATCTTCCTTTCAGGGCTATATTTCAAGAGGTTTGGCAGGGAAACAGCCTGGCTGTGTGAGAACAGAAACCTCCGCTGGTGAGCAGGGAGAGTGGCTCTGTACAATCAGCCATGGAACGAAAAGCTGAAAAATAGGGTGGGGGCCGTGGGTGTTTTGATTTTAAAAATGCTTAAACGTTCTTTACTTAGTTGTTTTTGGGTTTTGTTTTTTTTTTTTTTTTTTTTTTTTTTTTTTTTCTATTTAATACATAGCTGAGAAGTTTATCACCCACACAATCTTGTCTCAGCGGGAATAGTGTGTTTTCTCACTTTGTGCAATTCCAATTTTTACAAATGGGAAAAGGTAGTGAAAATGTCTTGACCAATTGCCCCCAGTCCCCCAAAGGATGGCTATTTTGTTTCTGGAAGGAAAAACCGAGCAGCTACTTACTTGAGCTGAAAGGCACAGCGTGGCGGTTTAAGGCGCTGAGAGTGCGGGGAGAGGGGCACGGTTTGTTCCCCCCGCTGGGATCAGTGCCAGGGTGGCCGCTGGCAGGATGGGCGGCGGGGGGAGGCCGGGAGCTGCCCTGGCCCCGCTCCAGCGGCAGGTGGATGCTGCGGAGCTCGGCGCGGGGCTTCCCCGCTACCGAGCGCCCCGGCCAAGGTAGCTGTCGGTCTGTATTAAATGGCTGCCTGCTTTTCGGGGCTGCCGACTGCTTCGTGCTTTGGCTGTTTATTAGCAGCTCTGCCGTCTCTCGGGGGCAGTTGCCCCCCATCCGCACCCCGCCGCTTCCCTAGGTGATGCTTCGCTCCACCGCCTCCCCGTCCGCCCCCACCTCAGCCCTTCCTCCCCTCGCCCTTCCCGGGGAGCCGCCGCCGCCTCTTCTCTCCGAGCATCCCCCCGGCCCCGCACCCCTCCTGGCTCTCCTGCTCCCGGGCCAGGGTGTGGGCTGGGGCCGGCCCGGCCGTGAGAGGGGAATCGCTGCTTTCCTGGGGAGCAGGAGGCGGTGGCCGGCCGGGGGCGGTGGGGTAGGGCAGGGCAGGACCTCCGCGCCGGGGACCGGGTCGTGCCGGGGAGCGAGCGGCTCTCCAACCCGCTCGATCTCTGTGCAACACCTTCACCCTTGTCCCTCCCCCACCACCCGCCGGTTTTGGGGATTTTTTG